CAACACACCAATCCTATTAAGTTGTTCGTTCATCAAAAAACTCAACACTTATTATTATTTTGATTGTATTGATTAATCCTCTATTTTGTTAATAGATCCTTCTTCTCATCATTGTTATTGAGAAAACAAGAATGGATCCTAATAATAATAATTTACCATCTTCAACAATAGATTCCTCCCCTTCATCATCATCAAACAAAAAGACTAAGAAGAAACTTACCTTCTCTTCCTCTACTGATAATACCCAACAAAAACAACAGAATGTCCCATCACCAACAGGAGGGAAGAAGAACGTTTCCTTCCGAGGATCTTCATCCAATGAGGCAATTTCATCCTCTGCTGCTTCCTCTTCAAAAAAGAGTACTAGTATTAGTATTAAACCTTCTAGTAACAGTAGCTTTATTCCAGAAACTCCACCAGATCATGTGATGGCCTCCAATTCATTGAGAATGAGATATCTATCGGATGATATGATTGAGGGAGATTCGTCCGATGATGATAATAGTAAATCAGATTCATCTGCGAATGGAGATGATAATAGAGCTGCTTCTGTGATTAGTACGAGAACTAATTCACAGGGATTAATGGATTTGGAAGATCAAGATGTGATTGAGGAAACACCAAAAAGGCCATCCATTAGAAAATCAGCAAAATCTGTAGCTTATACAATGGAACATTTGGGAAATAGATCTTCTTTCTATGATTTTGAAACTATTGGAATGCATCGATCAGCTACGAGATCAAATTTCACAGGAAGAACTATGGATCGTTCCATGTCTTTTTATCCAGGTTCTGCTGTGAGTCCTAGTTCTAAGCTCACTCAACAAGAATTCAAACGTAGAAATTCAATTAGAAGAATGAAATCAGTATTTGACTTTTCGAGAGATGAAAATATGCTCCACGATGGACGTGCCTTATTTTTTGATCCTGAAAGAGGAGCTTTTATTGGAGGATCAGAGGATGATTTAATGTATTCAGGTGGAATGAGTCAAGATGAAGATGAAATGAGTGAATCAGCAAAGAAAAAGTTTTCGTACAGAGCCAAGAAGTGGATGAAGGAAAAGTATGCTGCCTTTGTGGAAAAGTTAAAGATTGTAATGAGATTTATCTATACTATCACTTTTGGAGTTTTATTGTTTTTGATATTTAATTTATTCTCTGGATTGAGTTTCATTACAGTCTTTGGGGCTGATTATGGCAAAACCTTATTTAAATTATCCTTCTTTATGCTTAATCCGTTTAACAAGAGAGTTTTCTTTGGATATTTGATAGAGCAGACAACCAGTGGTGCAGGAGAAAGAACTGGGTTGTTATCTTCTTCAAACACCTCATCAGAAAAGCAAAAGAAAAAGTATCCAATCTCAAGGTTAGTGAAACACTTGTTTTGGGTGTTACTTATTGGACTGCCAATGACTTTTGTACAATCATTTATTGTCATTATGTGTTGGTTCCCAATTATACCAATTCCAATTTCAAAACTCATTTTCAGTATTAACAAGAACATGTTCTTGCCAAGTTTTATTGATTTGACCATTACAAGGAGAGTGGAAACATCAAATTCCAATTCAATTAATAACGAAGATAATGATGAAGAGAAGAAGGAAGAAACCTAAGATAAATCCATTCACATGGTTGATCCTTTCACTTTCAAAGCATTCAAGATGAAATTATTCTCTATTAGAGTTCCACTCATCAACTTGCTTCCTCTCGTTGCCTTAACTATTGGACTTCATTATGGTATGGAAGATGACTTTACAACCAAATATAGTATGGTCATCTTTGCCTTGTCAATTGTTGCTGCCATGCCTCTTGCTTTCATTATTGGCCATTGTGTTGAATCTATTGTTGCTCAAACTTCATTTGTTTTTGGAGCATTGTTGAATGCCACATTTGGTAGTATAATTGAACTGATATTATACTTCTTAGCTCTGTACAAGGGGTTGCAGGGTGTGGTTGTGAACTCTGTAAGTGGTGCAATCTTAGGTGCTGTCTTACTTACTCCAGGGCTTGCCATGGGCTGTGGAGGTCTTAGATACAGGGAACAATACTTTAATAGATATGCTGCAGGTGTTTCCAGCATCTTGTTATTCATTGCAGTTGTTGGTGCCTTCTTGCCATGTTTGTACTACTTGTCATTTGGTGTTCAGCAATTGAAATGTGGCCAATGTTTGAATGGTTTGCCATACAATAGAACGAAGGAAGAGCCAGATATTTATTCGAAAGGACTATTATCAACTAGTACAGCACCTTATTCATCATTTTCATCCAATATTGAAGGAGTCAACAATCCTCCTGAAGCTGATTCCTCTTGGTTTGATACTGCTAAACGTAGCTTTAAGAGTTTGTATGGTAGAAAGTACAAGAGGCCCAACAAATCAGTTCATGGAGCGAACCTTAAAGAAATTACCAAAAAGACAACAATTGGAACAATTTATGGGGCTCCTGTCGAAATTGCTCCTCGCTCCTTCTCACCAATGGATGAAATTCAAAATTATCACACCTTATTGGACTTAAAATCTGCAGATTTATTATTGACCAGTAATTATACTCCAGTGAGTAATTTCACCAACAACAGTACCTTTAGTATTCGGTGTGTTGGTTGTGATATTTCATTGGAAGACTTTGTCCATGATCCTCTCTATGAAAACAAGGTGAGACCACTTGCATTCACAGCAGCAATTATCTTACCATTTGCCTACTTTTTCGGATTATTCTACAGTTTGAGAACCCACAGATTCTTAATGCAAAAACCACCAAAGAAGGGATTCTCTGGAGAAGGAGAACACCAAGAAAAAGAGCCAGAAGATGACCAAGAACAAGAGGAAACAAACTCAACAAAAGGAGATCAATTAGATGATAATAAGAGTGCTAGTAAGGCGTCAATGGAAAATCTGAAAGATTCTGACAGCGAAGGACATGACCAATCTCTAATTAAATCAGAAAAAGACGAGTCGAACAAAACAGAAGAAGAGGAGGAGGAAAGTATTTGGCCTATCTGGTTGGCTATTTTAGTTCTCATTTTGTGTACTGCAGCATATTCGTTCGTTGCAGTTATGACTTCAGCACTTGGTAAGTTTGTTTTTTACTATATTTCTCAAATATTTAAATGAAATTGTTAACTCGTTCATCAACAAATTCAGAACCTGCCTTTGAAAGTATTGGAGTTAGTGCAGAATTTGCTGGATTAACCTTCATTGCAACTGTGCCAAGTATGGGCGAATTCCTCAATGCAATTCAATTTGCCTGGATGGACAATGTTACACTTGCTTTGGAAATTGGTAACGTTGCTGCTATTCAAATTTCTCTCCTTCAAATTCCAGCTCTTGTCTTGGGATCCTTCCTCATCTTTGAAGGAAATGAAAATATGATTTTTTCCCTTACTTTCCCTCAATTCAATTTGATGGCCATCTTCTTCTCAGTTCTCATGTTGAATTACATTAGTAGAGATGGACGTAGTAATTACTTCCACGGACTGGCTCTGGTGTTTGTCTATATTTTCATTGTGGTTGGATTTTTCTTCATTTATCTGTAATTTGTCAAGTTGGATTCAAAAATGGAAAAATTCCATAAACTAGTTTTGGTATCGATTTAAATTCAAAGAAATAAATAATTCAATTCTTTCGATTCAAAGAAGAAATAAATACTAATTTACACCAAATGCAAGAGTCAAGCGATATTCCTTTGAATCCAATTTTTATCTATCATTCTTTCGAATAGAATTGTTTTCTTCTCTGATCTAGAGGAACTAAGAAAATAGTTTTGCAAGTCTGAAAGCTGTCAAACTCCGTTTGACTCCTGAAAAATCCCTTAACAATCTCAAAAAAAAAACAAGCATGACCCAACAACTGCACTCTTTCTCCGGAGCTCATCTCCTCCTCATATTATTGTTAATAAATAACAGTATTATTGGCCTCGTGACTTCACTCTATGTTCCAGTTTATATCATGATGCCACTCAATACAGTGAATTCAGACGGATCGTTGAATAATCCAGAGAAAATTTACGATTACTTGCAACGAGTAAAACAAGTAGGAACAGACGGGTAAGTTTGATGATTGTGTTGAATATTTCAATTAATTTCAATGTCATCAACTAGAATAATGATTGACGTTTGGTGGGGAATTATTGAACCATCTCCCCAACAATACAATTTCAATGCCTACATGCAACTGTTTACCATGTGTCGACAGGTGGGTTTAAAGGTGGAGCCAGTTCTTTCCTTTCATCAATGTGGAACCAATGTAGGTGATGCATGCTACATTCCATTGCCATTGTGGATTCATCAAGTGGTGGGTGATAAAAATCCAGAGATTTTCTACACTGACCAGAATGGACACAGAGACAGGGAGTATCTTTCGCTAGGAGTTGATTCGGAAGCACTATTTCCAAGCAATGATTCGAGAAGAAATAGAACTCCTCTCGAAATGTACGAACAAGTTATGATTCAATTCAATGCTACATTTTCTTCGTTTATTAAGGGTGGAGTAATTGATACGATTGAGATTGGTCTAGGACCTGCTGGAGAAATGAGATATCCCTCCTATCAGTTGCAAGATAATATGTGGAGTTTTCCTGGAATTGGCGCATTTCAATGGTGAGTTTTTGTTTTCAATGTTTCTGTTCAATAACACAAGAAAAATTTATGAATTATTTTCGAATACTTTCTGGATTAGTTATGATCGATATATGCTGCAAGATTTGGCCAAGGCAGCGAGAGAAGTAGGTCATCCAGAATGGGGAAAGACAGGTCCGGCCAATGCTGGCAATTACAACTCTCGGCCATTCGAAACTGGTTTCTTCTCTGAGAATACTTTTGATAATTATGATTCCAGTTATGGTAAATTCTTTATTGGATGGTATACAGCCAAACTTATTCAACATGGTGATGCCATTTTGGGAAGAGCTAGATCAGTATTTGGTCAATCAAGCAAATTGGCAACCAAAATAGCAGGCATTCATTGGTGGTATTATACATGGAGTCACGCAGCTGAACTCACGGCCGGTTACTACAACACGATCCATTACAATGGTTATATTGACATTGCCAAAATGTTCAAAAAACACAATGTAGAATTCCAATTTACATGTTTGGAAATGAAAGATCGAGAACAACCCTCCGATTGTGCATGTGGTCCAGAAGAGTTGGTTGCCCTCACACGAGAATCAGCTTTCAATTTGGGATTGAAATATGGAGGTGAGAATGCTTTGGAAATTTTGGGAAATTACGCAGCAAATCAACAAATTGCAAAACAGTCGATTAGTGACGGCAAGTCAATTTCTAGTTTTACATTTTTGAGAATGTCAGATGAGTTGATGGCTAGTTCTCAGTATATGGGAAGTTATGCTAATCTTGTTTACGTGATGCATAATTTGTAATTGGATTCGAATAAAATTTGGTGGAATACGAAAGGTATAGTTTGTGAGTTGTCGATGATCAAGTGATTGTATAAAATGAATTTTGTTAGCAGAGAAATGGTTTCTTTTGTTTTGGACTTTGAATTATGAGCTAGGGAGGTCAATGTTCTATAAATGAATCTAACGTGCATTTTGTACGATTGACTAAACTCCTTATCCGAAACTTGTCTGTTAAGTATCGCGCGAGCATCAATAATAATGGTAGATATGCAGTTGACTAGTGCACTCTATGCATTTTTATATTCTAAACATTGCATACCATTAGAACAATCAAAAGAACATTCGAATAATTTATACTAATTGACAAGATCTCTTTTCCAAAAAATACAGATCTGGTATTCAGAGATAACCATCATTGTTATTTTCATGCAGCGATAACTCAATTGATAGATACCAAGTAGTTGCTTTCTTATTCGAAAGTAGTCGATTCTATCAATGTAATTACCAGTTATTGTCGAAACCGGGTCTATATTTGGTATGTAGCACTTATCCTGCACAAAATAAGAAACTCAAAGCCAATTTTTGGTAGATAAAAGTTTAGACAACTTTCGCTCTCTTTCGTCCAAATTAAAAAAATTGTCAACACACAACAATAGCATGCCAACCTCCACCTCAACAGCTGCTGCAGCCACATCAAGGAAACAACGTGATGGGTATGAATTATTAGTCATTCCACTTGAAGCAGTCATTGGCTATACGAATCTCTTGTCGAAAGAAAACCGAAACTCATTATCAAGCTTTAGAAGTCATGATTCGGCAAATTCATCAAAAAGTAAAACCACCAACACCACAACCAACCTTTCGTCCAATTTACCAATTGACATTGCTCCACTCGATGAATTACGTTGTAAATTTGAAAATCACATTTCGAGTGGTGAGTTGAAAAATTGTGCCACATTGAATTTGCAAAAATTGCAATTTCTTGACAGATTTTACGATTCCAAGAGGAAGAAACCTATCAAGTTTGAGAGAAAGATATTTTATTCGAAATTGAATAGTTTTATATTCGAGTTGATACAAGATTCGAATTGTCAAGGATTGATTATTCAGAATACAGCAGTTGAGAATGGTTTCTTATTGCAATTTGATATGATTCAATCAGAAAATGAAGGAATGATTCCACTTTTCTCTGAACATGCATATATTCGAAACTGGTTTTCGAAACAACAAGCTAATTACAAATTATTTATGGAAGGAAAAGACATAGCACAAGAGATTGACATTGATAATGGTCAATTGGGTTTAATAGTTAACATGTTCTATTCAGATTTGAAAGAATTTTTCTTTTACTTTCAAAAACACGAAACTAAATATTGTAAAAACTGGATTGAAGATAATATTCTAACACTTCCTAAATTCCTCCTCGTTGACTTGAAAGCCAAACAAGATAAGATTGCTAAATATAGAGATTTATTGGTTTACAAAGAAGAGGATATGAACAATAGGATTGTTCTAGATTCGGATTTTGAATTTATTTATCATTTGGCTGAGCATACGAGTGATTGGAAACTTTCTAAACATTCGAAACTTGGTTCCTGTCATGTCTATTCATCCAAGGAGAATTACACAACTGTTACAGGAACGAAAATCCAGAAATATGTCCACACTGTAAATATGAGTATTGAAAAGTGTACGAAAGCTTTCTTTTCATACGATGCAAAGGATTTAATGATAATCTTTGGTGATTATAGAGATTACAAGGAATTGGATAACAGCAATTCATTGAAAAAGTATAGTAGTGTGGTGAGAAGTTGTACAGTGGATTTTGGAAGATTCTTCTCGAAACGTTACTTGGAAACTGTCTTTGCCACAAAGGGAAAATTTGTGGGTTCTGAATTGGTTGAGGCTGTCTATCTATTCAAGACTTGTGACATTGCAAATAATCAAAAGGAACAGAAAAACAGATGCATGACTATTGGAGGAGCCATTCTCCAAAAATGTGGAGCTAATTCCACACGTTTCACAGACATCAAAATGTTCAATGTTGGTGGAATCTTACAAAAGGATTTCATAATCAATAATATTGGAATTAAGTTGTACATGAAGCAGATTCCTTCCTACATGGATGGCATGACTAAATCATTGGAAAAGATGGGCGGAAAGGTTGATGAGAATGAGAAACCAATTTGGAGAACTTTCTGTGATTATGCCAGAGCCAACTATAAAATTGATCCAAATGAATTACCAGTGTTGGATTAATAAATGTATTATTTGTTCAATATTCTTCACAAATTATTACCAAATCGGTCAATCTATTGCGTTGATTTTTCAATTTTTCCATTAATGAGTTCTTCCTCAAATTATTACATTTACCATTGAACTCTTCAATGATATTTCCCTGCTCATCTTGATATTCATTAACAAAATTGTCTAAAGCTTGAATTACTTCCGGTATGATTTGATTTTCACTTTTTACATATTCTACAGAAAAGAAATCCAGGTAGGCTTCAATACTCTTTTCCCTGTCAACAACTTCCATACAATTATATTCAAATCCATCCATTAATTCGTACCAATTAATCTCAAACAATTCATGATATCCTCCACCACACAATTCTTTCGCAACATTCAAAAATTCATTTCTGAAAGCAATAGAAATAGGTTTTTCGTGATAGTATCTCAACTTGGAGAAGTGATTCACATCCGCTCCATACTTCAACAATACTCTAACTTTATCCAAACTTCCACTTTTTGCACAAACATAGAGAATGTGATAAGCTTCCCAAGAGTCCCTTGTATATATTTCATTTGCATTTGCTTTATAATTCTTCAATAGCCATTCTCCCATCTTGGCCAAATCCGAATCCTTTCTTTCTCTTTCTTCATCTCTAATCACTCGCTCATTGTTATAGTCAACTTTCTCATTCATACATAAAACTTTCCAGAGCCAACTTTGTGGAAAACCCTCATTAGAACAAAACTCACATGATCCATATTCTTCAACAAGCCTTTCCAGCTGCCCAATAATCCATTCGGAATCAACAAGAACACTCTCGGAATGATTGAAATCATCATCATCACAAATTTTCGAATTTTTAAATAATTTAAATAAATTAATTAGTAAAGGATCGTTTTTCTGCAGTCTTTCCAAGTGATGATCGATATAGAGTGAGAGTAAATGCTGAACATCTCGTTGCGACATTTTTTTTGAATGAATTTTTCAAGTTTACAATGAAAATTTGTTTGTTTTTCCTTGTGTGTAAAATATTAAGGTTATCCAGTAATTGACACAGCACGTTTTCCACGAGATTACTGTAAATAACTCATCAACACATTACAAATGTCAGTAATCAAAAGATATCAACTGAACTTACCGGTTAATTACAAAACCACAGGATTCTTTACTGAAAATCATGATAATGGTTTCCATTCCAGACTTACATGTGTATTCATACCACAACTAACAAATATCAACAAAGAATCTTCATCTCACTTTACAATTCGGCTTATAAATTATTTCCCGCCAATTATCCAAAATCTACAACAAAACAAAATAGAAAAAAATGCACCAACTTGAAGCCTTGATGTCGCTTTAGATTACCTTAGAGACGGCCAAATACCAAAGAAAATGATTATTATATGGAAGAGTCCAAAACGCTTCTTTTTAATGATTCCAAACATGTCAAGTACCTTCTCAAGAAGAAATTTGCACTTCATGTTTTTTTGACTTTCTCACTAATTATGAGAGTAACCCGTAAAATTTGGGTATGGACTGTGAAAGGAGCTTTGCTAAAATATTTTGTTACTTTCATCCTTTGTGTGTTGTTCAATAATCAAACAGATGTTGTTGTTTGGCAGAGAAGCAAAATATTAAAAAAACATTTTAGATGACATCGAATAACTCTTCATCCTCGAATGGTGGGGATAGCACTTCTACTACTTCAGAAACCACAACGACAGAGAGAATGAATTCTCCACAACAAATGTCATTAACTGTCAACAATAATCAGCCGCAAGCCAGTGTTTCAACACAGTGTGAAATCGAATTGGCAGATATAAAGGATAACCAGATTTCTCCTAACTCTGCTGAAGAACATATTAAATCCTCTGAAACTAGAACACCAAGTGATTGTGATGACGTCTTATCCACTACTGCTGAAGTTAACTTTGATTGTCAGTCACCAATGAAAAAGCCAACATCAAAGTGTGATTTTGAAATTCCAACTTCACCACAATCGTTGAATCCAGCTGGATCCAGCACCACTAACCTAATTTCTGATGATAAGCTTGTGAAAAAGTTACCAAACAATAGCAAGTCAGTCACAATGATAACACAAGAAGAACAAGCATTCGATACCAAAACTGTAAATAGTTACCAAAGCAAAGCAACCTCTAAGACATCAAAGACATCAGGCGGGTTTTCAGTTGCCACTTGTTGTGGTACTGTGGAGCTAAACTGTATTCGTGTCTTGTCAATTCTAGGTATGATGATCAACATTATTGCCTTTGTTGCCATGGCAGTTGTGATTTCAGTTGCCTTCTCCGTCTCCACTACTAACGAAACTGAATTGTTGATACTCAGAGCTGATGCTAACTTGATGAGTGAAGTAGCTGCTTCTTCACTAAAGATTGCCGTGTATTCTAATCAAACCGAACCCTATATTTCCAGATGGAAAACAACTAAAGATAAGGCCGTTGCAGCTATTGCTTCGATCGTTGATGCCCTCCCACCCGATGTTTTCCTCAGACTTCTCAATGGTTCTACATACTTCAACTCTAGCGCAATTCCAGTCAATCCCTATGAACAACAAGTGGTAAACCTGTTAAAATCAGGCAAGCAGAAGGAAGCCATCACTCTCATTGAAAGTAAGAATTATACTTCCTACTCTCTTGGATGGAAGAATGTGGTTTCTAACTTGTTGACCTATGCAAAGGAATTGGCAAGAAACAAGAATGATTACTTGTTGACCTCTTCAAGTGTCAACATGGGTCTCATTGGTTTTTCAATTCTGCTGGTTGTTCCAATTGTGTTGGCCATCTTTATTATGGCCATCAATAGAGAAGGTGTTTCTCAAAAACGTCTCAAAAAGGCAAATGCTGTCATGTTACTCGACACACTGCAGGATCATGCACTCAAAGCACTCTTTAGAAAGCATTGTGAAACTGAAAGATGTTTGGAATCATTTGAATTTTTGGAAAAGATTCATTACTATAAGGAATTCTGTAATGACTCATTCGATATTCAAGTCAAACTTTATGACAGTAGTCACCCAACACAAACAGAAAAGAAGTCCCTCGAATCCGATCTCAAGGAAGTTGAACAAAAGAAGTATGAGGTTGCCTTTGAAATTTTCACAGAATTTATTGATGAACATGGAGAAAAGGCACTTGTTGTCACAAGCCATTTGTGTGAAGATGTCAAGATGAAATTGGATCATTTCAATACAGGACAATCAGACCATTTGAGTGACGAACTATTCGACAAACTTCAAACTGAAGTTGCCATCCACTTGTTGGATTGCCATGCCAGATTCAAGCAAAGTATTGCATTCCAAAAGAAGATGAAAATTCAAGATATTCGTTCCAAAACCAAGATTACAGGTAAATGAATAAGTTGATTTTTATCAAAACCTTCCTTGGTATTGTATCATGAATAAACCAAATTACCGAAATTACTTTTTGGTTTTATTCTTGGCGAGTGGTATTCGATTATTTCGAATCGTCGGCACTCTTGTCAATTATTTGCAGTACTGTCATTTGTAAATGTTTCTGCACATTATTGATCATCCATTGTCAGGTGTTTCAAGTGAAAAGTCAAATGAATGAAATGTTATCTAGATCACTAACCAAACCTTGCAACAGAATCTGGTACCAACAAGATCACCAGGGATTCCAATAACTCTTGACAAGCGAAGTTTTTTTCATCATTTTTCATTCATTTCAATTATATATACTTTGAGTAATCCAAGTATCCAATGGAATATTGATAGGACTTGAATATTTATCCAATGCAATCTCTTCTCCTTTCATTAGATTTTCAGAAAAGAGAGATTTTGATTTTTCACTTCTCAGTTCCTTGTAAGTTGAGTTTGAGATGTGAACTTGATTGACCTTTCCTGTTGCTTCCATCATTTGAGCAATTTCAACTGCAGGTCCAAATAAATCATATGTTCGTTTCACTTTTCCAACAACTGCTGCGATCACATCATTTCCAGTGTGAATTCCCAATCGAACTGATAATAAATGATCAGTATTTGTGTAGGTAGTATATTGTTTCATGTTTCGAATCATTGCAAGACCTCCCTTTACAATGTTATCTGCATGATTGGTCTCACTCTTCGAAAGACCTGAAGCAACAAAGTAACAATCACCAATGGTCTTGATTTTCTCCAAATTCAGTTCAGTACAAACATTGTCAAAGAGTGTGAAAATGTCATGTAAGATTTTGACAACATCTTTTGGTGATTTTCTTGAAGAGAAATCAGTGAAACCAACCATATCACAATATAACATGGAGCAGGAATCGATTGTGTCAATGACAGTCTGGCCCATGCTCAATCTTTCTGCAATACTTTTTGGGAAAATCTTTTCTGCAATTCTTGTCATGTGTTCTTCTGGTGTTGACAATGATTTGTAATCTCTGAGATAGGCCACATAGGATGGTTTTCCATCAGTGACAATTTGTGAAATTTTAATTTCCAAAGAAATGATCTTTCCAGATTTGGTTTCTCCCTTCACTTTCCGTGTTACATCCACAACGCCATTTTCTCTACTTCGACATCTATCCAAATAACTGTCATGTTTCAACCTATCTCTACTGTTGCAAATAATCTTGACATTTCTTCCAACAATTTCCTTTGGTTCATATCCAAATGTAGATGAAGCTGCCTTGTTAAAAACTTGAATAATTCCCTTGTCATTAATTGTAATGACTGGAATGATACTTAGATCAGTAATAGCATGTTTGAAAGAGTTTGTAACAGCTGCCTGATGTTCATTATCAATTTCCTTGAAGAATTTCAAATAGACACAAAAGTGAATTTCTTGAAGTTTCTTAATTGGAATAATTCTTGCAGTTACAATGAAGAATTGTTTAAGCATGGTAGCTTTGGCTCTGAGATATCGTTCCTCTGAGAGTGATTTCCTTCTTGTTGCTTTTTCTTCCTCACTCAATTGACTATATGGCTTAATATCATCGAGATAGTTCTGATCAGATCCAATTTTATCTGCCTTCAGAGTGCTATTCTCTGTTGGACCCAAGAATTCATACATGGCTTGATGAAGTTCAACGGAGGCATCATCCAAGAATAATTCACTAACATGTTCTCCCATTGCACTGAATGAATAAACTCCAAATAAATCCTCTGCTTCCTTATTAAGAAACTCAATGGATCCAAGTTTGTCAAAAACAAGAACTGGAAATCCACAATGAACAAATTGATGAACTAAATAATTCAATTGAGAGAATTCTACCTGATGTGTAAATCCAACTTCATCACAAATTTCTCTCTGACTCAATACAGTAGTATCTGTTGTTGACCTGATTGAAATTTCACTTGTTGTATCAGAAAAGTTTCCATCAGATTCTTCCAATCGTTGCTTCAATTTTGAAAGGAATCTTTGATTAATTGACTGTTTGTATCCTTGATCATTTCTTGACATTCCTCTATCCACAGGAGGTGGTCGTTCCTGAGTGGTGTTTGTTGTTGGTGTTGGTCTTTGTTTTGGTACAGAACTAGCTTCTCTCATATAGACACTACTCTCTCTTTGAAGTGCCCCTCTTGGAAGCTCAGAAGATCTCGTCACTACACTATTTTCTCTTTGAAGTTGACCACGAGGTCTTTCAGAAGATGACGACTGATTCCTGACAGAGTTTTCTCTCTGTAAAAATCCTCGAGGTGCTCCACTTGTCATGATGCTGTTCTCTCTCTGGAGAGTTCCTCTTGGATTTTGAGAGGCAATCATCAGACTATTCTCTCTTTGTAAAACAGAGGTTGCTCTCCTATTAGAGGAAGTCATTTCAGTAATTGGTGTCTTTTCTGTTGTTGAGGTAAAAACTGAATTTTCTCTCTGGAGAGTTCCTCTCTTAATCATTTGTGAATTTGATGAAACCAGAGGAGGAGGAGGAGCCTGTTGTTGAAGAATATCCTTTGTAACAAGTAAGGAAGATCCCTCTCTGATGAGTATTCCTTTTGGTTTTGATGACTCGCCTGCTATTGAATTATCTCTAATCAATCGAAAACTTGGCTTTAAATCCACACCCTCCAGAATATTCCGAGAACTTGATGTATTGATTGATGAGGAATCGAGTGGAGCTGATGATACAGAGCTTGTTGGTTGCTGTTGATTTTGCTTCTTTGCCAAGAATTCTGCAAAAGCTAGTTGATGTTCATCGAGTAATTGTTGAGTGGAGGAGCTTATCTCAACACTGCCTCCACTACCAGAATTCATGTTATTCTTTGGAGTTGGTTTGAAATTCACACCAGAGAGAATATTCCTCGAACTCTGACTATTCAATGTGCTTTTTGGTGATGAAGAATTTTGAAGAGAAATTGCTGATGGTGAGGAAACTTCAGGTTGAGCTTCTTGTATGGTTATCTTTTTAATCATGGTACCTCCAGAGCCAGCCAGTATATTCCTCGAGCTCTGGCTATTCAATGCGCCACCTGTTGTTGCTATCTGTTCCTTCTTTTGTGCAATGTATTCCCTTAATTCCCGATCATCATCATCATTGCTTAATTGAATTTTTCTGGATGATGAAGAGAAGCCATTGGCATTCAGTGGAATCTTTCCATTGTTTGCCATCATGATGGAAGAATTGGCAAATATATTTCTCGAACTCTGATGATTGAATTGTGCTGATGATTGTTGAGCTGTTGTTGGAGTTGTTTTCATCTTTTGAGCCAAAAACTCCTGTAAGGCCTTCTCATCTTCATTGTATCCATACAAATCGTCCATCTTTTCTTTGTCAATAAATGTACAAGGTAAATTATCTTCCGTCTTATTAAGGCACTTAATATTCTTCTTCTTCTGCTTCCAATTATTGAATTGATAATACAAAAAACAAACTCTAGCAGCAGTAGCAGAACAATACAAGTTGGGTTGATCTTTTTCTTTTACGTTAACTGTTTTGAATATTATTGTGTTTGCTAGTTTGCAAGTTTCCTTGCTTGTGTGAAGAGTTTTTTCTAAACCTCAAATCAGAAGTTCATGATGCCTTATTCTTAAAGTGCGGATGAGGGCACTTTATGACCAGTTATGGAAGAGAGCTGTTGTGTGAGATTCTAAGGGCCTTGTTGAGGGAACAATTTCACAATTACATTCATCAAGCATTGAAATCATGAAAAGTCTTGATATTTAATATATATATAAATAAATGGTCGAAAATTGATAAAGAAAATTTGAATATTTAATTTCTTGTGAATTTGTAATGAAATAATTATTAAAATTGAGTATTTAATTATTCAATTTTATCCTTTTCCAATACTTTTGAATGATCCAATTGTTTTGGTATTTCCAATGAATTTGAATGTTTGGAAGAAACACAACAAAATGCCCAAATTATTAATCCAAACAAGAAAATCAGCAAAATTCCAACAATTACCATCAAGAATGCAATCACTACAAATGCAATTCCATATCCAACAAGTAAATTAAACAAAAATTCCAAATCTTCTTCTTTCCATCCCCATTCCTTTCTGAGATAAATTCCTATTCGAAAGAATTGATCATAAATTTGTTTACGTGTTGGATCGGAGAGTGTTTCATAGGCTTTAGTCATTTGGGAATATTGTTCTGTGAGGAGGGAAAAGTCACTCCGATTAAATCCGAATTGTGTTAGAGTTTCGTCTGATTGTGGAGATTCGTCTTGAACCAAGGATTGAATTTGTTCATATCTTTCCTTGACGGTTTTAAATTTCTCGTTAATTTCTTCGATAGTTGCTGAACGTGTTAAATCCAACACTGAATAAAAATCGGAAGTTTCTTCTTCATCTTGTTGGAAACTAGAAGAAACTAGAACCACAAGAATTGACATGAAAATTAAAAGGATAATACCTCTCCCAACCATCATTGATGCCATTTTTTATTTTAATATTAAATTAAATAATCAAATAATTAGCTCCTTCTATTTCTAGAAACAAAGTTTCCTAATTTGTAATCAAATCGTACAAAATGAAACCTCCAGAAATTGCCAAAGAGGTAGCAATACTAATCTTCCATCCTCTGAAAAATCCAGAAATTCCTTCTTCCTTATAAGTTTTTTGGAAACAATCCAAAGTTCCAGAAAAAGTTTTTTCCTTCTTGTCAGCTTGAACTTGAAGTTTTCTTTCGACAGTTTCCAATGGATAGCAGATGAGAAAGTTGGAAAATGAAATGAGTTGGGCGATTAGGAATTTGGCCCTGATGTCGTTTGGATATGGATTGACACTTGTCAAAATGTCATACATGACAAAATAGGAAAATCTGTATACGATTAATTTGATTAAGGAAGCGTCAAGACCAACAAATAGAGCAGAATAACCATTGGTTTCAATAGTCTTCTTTAAAACATCGATTGGACCTGAATATTGTCTCTTGCCAATTGTGTCAAATGCCAATTTAAATCTGACATAGGCTAATGGTCTTGTAAGAGCTTCCATGGCAGTTCCTATCAAAGCTCCACCAACTACATTTCTCAAATAGTACTTTCCCAAGTCAGTGCTTGGATCAAATTTTGGGATTATATTGAAAATCTTCATTAACATTGGAGAAAACATGCCAGTCAAGATATTTTTCAATAATTCAACAGGAAATCCTCTGAACCAACTGGAAATTCCTTGATCTTGTTTAATTTGTTGCAGGATTGTAATGGTATTCAACTGTTTATCACCAATTTGCTTGGCCAATTGATGATCGGCTTGGTGAGATTGAAGAATGCATGCGGCTGTGAAAAGAGGACAAATTGGCAATTTAACAAGTAGACTGGACGAAACCTTTGCTACAATACCGACGGTCACCTGTACGAGTGGGCTGTTGTTGCTTGTTTGCATTTTTTTGTTTTGACCGACGATGAAAAAAATACCTCAACAAGACCATCCTCCGGATACGGAAGGGAGTAATTTGCTTGCTGACAGGATTTTTGTGTTAGAGAGAGCAATTAAAACCTACCAAAAGGAAAACAATAATCTCCGTGACTATCTTCAACAACTTGTAAATATATGTAATGGTCACCCGTTATTGAATAATAATAATAATAATCCCATCAAACCTGTAAATAATAATCTGATCAATACCCAACCATCAGAAAATGAAAATCTATTTATTACTAGAAATCCAGTAAATGTTAGAAATCTACCAACTAGTAGAAATTTAATTAATGGTGGAAATTTCTTGACTGAGACAGTTCAAATATGCGATAGTAATCCTAAAAATAGAACTGTCAGTTATGCTGATATTACAAGATTAGCTCCTATTAAAGCTCAGCCATCTATTAAGAAAACAATAGCAAAACAAAAATCAACAACTAATAAGATGAAAAGAAATATGGCAACTAATACTAGACCTAACAAACGTAAATCTAATTACAATCTTAATCAAATAATTAATGTAATTTGCTACAAAGATGTTACTAACGAATTTGTTGAACAAATTACAGACCTACTCGGTGACTCTGTAATCATTAGAGTTAATCGATACTGTAATAATATTATTAATGTAATTTGCCCTGATGAAACCAGTTATAAAGAGTGTTTCAATCAATTAGTGCAAGGAAGTCATGGAGGAAAATTCATATTAGAATGCTTTCCATCTCCAGCAATCTTTAATCCTAAACCTTTAGCACTTTCACATACTACTTCCAGTAAAACTACTCACCTTAAAATGCTAGAAAATATTATTAGCAAATATATATTGGAAGATAATATTTCTGTTGAGGAACTCTACACTAACTATTCTCATAACCAATTTATAATTAGAATATCATTTGAGGATCAAACTATTTGCTCTCAAATGGCACAAAATCTTGGTTTAAATCAATATAAAACTATTGAACAGATTAGAAATGAAACCAAGGAGACAACATCTCAATGCTCTATTCCAATTAATTATACTAATGATGAAATTAAAAAAGGAATTATCCAAGCATTTACCAGAATTAATAAGACTCTCCAAGAAAACAATCTTACCATTACTGATACAACTAACCGCTCTGGAACAACTAAATACAAATTAATTAAAATTGTACACAATGATATGGATGAAATGAATGAATTTTGCAAGAAATCTATCTCCCTAAAGGATAAACAAAGAAATCATAGTGGAAATGGATTTAAATTTAAGCCATCTATTCAAATATTGGATTCTAAAATCCAAAGGAAAAGTAAATTACACCCATATCTTCCTCAATTAGAGTTATCACCTATTGATAAACTCGTATTTATTGATGAACCAATTAGACAACTACCAACTACTACTATTGTTAAATAATAATAATAATAATAATAATAATAATAATAATATCACAAATGCAAATAATAGAATTGATAAAATTGAAAAAAGTATTATAGATTTAACTCAACAGCTCATGCTCACTAATAACAATATTAATAATATAGTTGAAATACTTAAACAAGCAAATATTATTAGACCTAATAATGATAACAAAATGTTAAATAATCCTAATAATAAGATGTTAGAGGATTCTAATAATAGTAATAATAATATGTTAGATGATGAATTAAGTTCATCATCTAATCCATCTACTCTACCTTGAGTAGAACCACAACAAGTTTAAGGCTAGCGTGCTATAACGTAAATGGTTTATATAAGCACGCAAGCCATAAATCAGTTACTCCTGAATTGAAATCCATGTGTTTAACACATGGAATTCACTTTATGAGTTTAACTGAAACTCACTTAAATACCCCAGAACTAGAAATAGAAGTCAAAAACTCTGGATCAGGGTACCTATTATTTAACTCATTAATGAATACAAGAAAAGGTTGCAAAGGTACTGCAGCTATGCACTTTCTAAATAATTATAGAAAGCGCAATATTACAAATAATAATCTCGTACCTGGAACATTACAATGGACACGATTCGAAAGTCGTGGAATTCCAATTAACATCTTCACAATTTATCTTAGTGGAAGATAATGATTATGACAATGAGGAAGAAGCTCTTAATAGCTTTATTAATGCTGCCCTCACAATTAAAGATGAACATATTATTTTAAGTGGTGATATTAATATTGATACAAGAAATCCCACTAGTAAAAGAGAAAAAGACTGGCTATGGATACTTAATCTACTCAGACTAACCGAATTACAAACATCCAATAATACTTGGATAAGAAGAGTTCAATCTAATATTTTTGAATCGAAACCTGATCATGTCTTTGTGTCAAAAGACATAAGAATAGTTAAAGAAGTGCTCATGCCTCCATTAACCACTAATGATCACATTCCTTTCTATATAGATCTCGAATTTAAATCTAACTTAACCTGGAGACCTTACTTTAGTAAGAGTAAGAGAAAGAAAATATATGAAGAAATTAATAAGTCTCCTATAGATAATTTCAAAGAGTTAAATCAAGCTATCTTGACTCAAATTAACAAATATGGCTCCAAAACTGATAGATTAGGTGTTGGTCGAATCTCAACAGCCTATAAAGAAGAAATTCAAGATTTGGAAGAAGAAATTCTTCACAAATTAAATAATGAAACTATTTCTCAATCAGAAATATCTGAATTACAAACATTACTGAAAGAAACTCATATTAAAAATGGAAAACATATTAAGGAAAAATTGATAGAAGAATTCAATGATAGAACTTCATCTAAAATGTATCAATTTGATAGAATGGTTCATTCCAAAGAAATTAAATGGAAAGATATTAATTTCGAAGAAGAGGAAATTTTAGAATACTTTACAAATAAGTTTACCTCGACTAATCAACTTCCAACATTCATTCCAAGTAGATCAACTATTAAAGAAGGACCAAATTGGACCAACTCGATCCATATAGAAGAATTGGAAAAAGCTTTAAAACGTATGAAATCAAATACCCCTGGTCCTGATCTAATTTCTCTGGATATTATTAAGCATCTCACAGAAAAAAATCAGAAAATTTTATTGAACGAATTTAATAATTGCCTAAGAATAGGTGATATCTCTGAAGATTGGAAGCAAGGATGGGTGAAACTCATTCCTAAAAGAGATATCACTTCTCTCAGTGACATTCGTCCAATCACTATTTTACCTACATTTTATAGAATTTTATTTAATATTATAGCCTTTCGACTTAGATCTTGGGCATCATCTCATATAAATATGAGACAACAAGCATTTATTACAGACAGAAACACTTTAAATCATGGTGTCCTTCTATCATCATTAGCTATGAAAACTAAGAAAAGAACCTTCATTCTTGTTAACCTAGATATTGAAGGAGCTTATGATGCTGTAGAATTGTCAGTGATTAAAATGGCACTAGACCATTGTAAATTTCCTAACGAACTCACTCAATTTATTATTAATGCCTATAGCAACCATGAATTGAGCCTAGAAATTGATAATCATCTATCCACAAAATTTACAAAAACTCGAGGAATCCCACAAGGATGCCCATTGGCTCCTCTTATATACGATTGTATCACACAATTAATTATTGATAAAGCAATAGATAAATGGAAAATACCAATCAAACCAAACAAACTATGTGCTAATGATATTGCACTCTGTTGCTTTGCAGATGATATGAATGTTGTCTGTGACAGATATGCCAAATACAATGACAGGCTAGATAACATACATGACTGGCTAGGTCAACTACTTTTTAAACTAAATGCAAAGAAATCAGTTGCAACTCTACTACCTAAAACAAGCAAAGTATCTCCCAAAATTAAGGGTACACCTATTCCTAAACAAAAAAACCTTAGGATACTTGGACATTATCCATGGGATGATATTCTGGTTCGACAAGATATCCAAAACAAAATTGAAAAATTTACCAAATCTTTGAAATTTCTCCCATTATTCAAAATTGAACCAGATAACCTTAAACAAATTATTCACGCTAAAGCTATTAGCTTATTTACACACCTTTCTAAAATTAACTTAATTCCTCTGAAAAAGGCACAACAAATTGATATAGCCATTAGAGGAGCAATTAGAAGAAAACTATATATGGACAGGAAAACACCAACCAGCTTATTCCACTTACCATTAGAAAAAGGTGGATTAGGACTACCATCTATTGTAGAATTTTCTGAAAGAATGAACCTAAGAACCATGACCTTAATTGCTAACAGTAACAATTTACTCGTCAAGAAAGCTTTCAAACATGGTATCAAGCACTGTGAGGAAACGAAAGACAATATTTATTCGAAATGGCTACTAGTACTAAAAGAATACAACCTCACACTTAAGAAAAATGAAATGAAATTCAAGTTGAAAAAAATCAAAACAGGAAATAATTTTGATATTCACACTGACGGATCAAGACTCGAATCAAAGACTGGAATGGGGATTAATATCTATGATTGCTCCAATATGAACACTCCAGTTAGATCTTTATCCCTCCATATTAATGATCAATATTCAAATAATGTAGCTGAAATATGCTCTATTATTACAGCAGCTAAAGTTATCCCAAGAGACTCCAAGATTAAAATCCATACTGATAGTAATGTGGCAATTGAAGTTCTCAAAGAACGATATAAGGGAAACTTTCTACCACTAAAAAAAGCCTTCTTTAAAACCATTAAGGATAGAAAACTTGAATATGAATTCAAGAAAGTTGAAGCTCATAAGGATAAGGAAAATATCAAAGTTGATTTATTGGCAAAGAATGCAACTCTGAAACCTAAAATCTTTGATATCCGTAAACTACTCTTTAATCAATATATCCTCACAAAGAACGATATTATAATCTTTGACTATAAGAGGTTAACTACCTCACAACATTTAAGGCTAATGCTTGACAAGATAGAGAGTCACCCCAATCACATACCTAACCTAGATTGGAACTCTATCAACGTCAGCTACCTTAAATCCCATTTGTCTCCTAAATCTAAATATTATATTTGGAGAAACTCTTCAAATGCCCACATCAATTTTGGTGAGGGTAAAAGTTTCTGTCATGATTGTAACACAGAATCTGACCTTAATCACTATATTCATGAATGCCCTGCTCTGGATAGTGCCAGATACTTTTGCTTGTCAAAAATATCTGATATTCTTGATCAGAGAGAGTGTAAACTCACTCATATTCAATTCAGACCAGAAAAGCATCACCATGTACTCTTCTTCCACCATTCTGGAACCACATTCTTCGAAGATGGATACGTACAACAATACCCAGACATTGCAGAGAAATGGCCTGAGATCCAGGGAGCCATTTCTAACTTTGTCGGCCGCTCCTATAGATATTATTATATTGACTCAATGTAAATTTACAAATTCAAAGAGAATCTGAATAGATTCGTTATTATTGCAATAAAAGATTTTTTTGTTTTGATCGTCCCTCAAAAAAATACCTCAACGTCTAGTACGTTTGTGCGGTTTTCTAGATTGACCAAGATGCAAGTAGCACAGCGCTAAACTATCGCCGTAACTTTCGGCATCGAGGTTTAGATGGATTCAAACTATGTATTGTTTATTCTTGTCTGTAGAATAACATATAGCTATCTTCTGTCAAAGATTTAAAGCAGGTTTCTTTAGTTTAGCACGGGCAAAACAATGTAAAGATACCGAGGCGTGGAGAGTAATGATTTAATTATGAACAGAAAGGAAATTTTATAAGAATATAATCAAAGAGAATAGATATTGTAGAACGTTACGTAAGAATTTTATTGCAGCGTAAGAGATGGTATTGGATCACCTTCTCGATATCCTTGACAGATATTTCAGATGCTTCCCCATTTAATTTTCTATTATTTCGCGATGTTTACTTTCCCTATGGTTTCCATTAGTCACGGTCTAACTCTTGATTAGTTTCCAACTATGCAACTTAAAGGCTAGGCGATAACTCCACTCCTAAAAGTCCCCGTCCAATGACGAAGCTGTGAATGAACTTTGTTCCTACGATACACACTCCAAAAGTACACCATCACAAGAGTGTTTGGTCGAGAATCTGAATAGATTCGAAAAATTGTAGTGTATAATAATCGGTATTATAAATTTTTTTGTTTTGATTGGTTTTTACAAACAGCCCATGCATTAAATTTGTGATATTGTGAAATGATTTTGATTGAGTGGTTTCGATGAACTTTTTGCTTCTTCCAAATGAGGGTTGTTTAATGCATGGCTGTTTGTAAGCAAATAAAACGATGCAACAAAGTTTCCAATTTAGCATTTGACCTCTAGAAAATATTTAGAATTCTAGTAGTAAAAATTAATGCATAAAATAATTGATGACATAGGTATCTGCCTACTTCGTTAATGTTTTACATTTTTTTTCCAATATCGTGAAGCAGGGGTTCCCGAGTGGTCAAAGGGGGTAGACTCAAGTTCTACTGCGCAAGCTTCGTGGGTTCAAATCCCACCTTCTGCAAATTTTGTTTTATTTTTCTTCATCTTCGAGATTGGAGCTTTTCTTTACCAATGAATATGTTCCAGTAATTCCTTGTATCTATGGTTGAAAGATGATATTTTACAAATAAGAGATTATTTAGAAAATCAACAAAGATTACAAGCACCTCAAATTTTCTTGCTAAAAATGCTATTAATTTTGTTAGCTCAATATTTACTTTTTCTTTCCGCCACTCGACACATTGAATTTAAAGTGCAAAATATCACCATCCTCTACCTCGTAGGTCTTTCCCTTCTCCTTGAGCTTTCCATTATTTTTACATTCCGATTCACTACCATATTGCTTGTAATCTTCAAAACTCATAACTTCAACACAAATAAATCCCTTTTCAAAATCACTGTGAATTTGACCAGCAGCAGCTGGGGCCTTCATTCCTCTCTTGATGGTCCATGTACGCACATGTTGACCACATGTGAAATAATTGATGAGATTAAGCATGGCATATCCAATCTTGATAATATCTGCCATCTTGGAGTTGATTCCCTTCTTGATTAATTCTTGTCTCTTTTCTTCATCAGTCTCTTGCCATTTCTTTTCAAAGGCAGCACTGTATGGAATGACAGGTTCAGCAATTGCACTCTTAGAAGTGACATATTCTCTAATCTTAATGACATGCTCATTCTTTTCTGGATCCACAACATCTTTTGGTGTCATATTCACAAGATAAATCATTGGTTTAGAGGTCAACAATTGGTGAGGATTGAGTAATTCAATATCCTTACTAGCCCAATCACCAAATCTCACTTCCTTTCCTTCCTTCAACATTTCCAATGCCTTTTCGACAGCAACGAGTTCAGAAGCCTTCTCCTTCTTTTGCTTTCCCATCTTTTCGAGTGGTCCCTTAACATTTTCCAAATAGGAAATATCCTTCTTGATCAATTCCTGTTCAATGGTTTTAATATCTCTCACTGGATCAATACTACCCTCAACGTGAGTAATATTCTTCGATTCGAATGTTCTTACCATATGGAAAATGGCATCAACAGCTCTAATATGAGAAAGGAATGCATTTCCCAATCCTTCACCTAATAATTATTTCCAATCCAATTCATGAATTATTTGAATTTAAAAATCCACATTTTCACACACACAAAATATTCACAAAAACACTTCTCACACTCCTAAAACAAACCTTCTGAAGCATTCTTGACCAATCCAGCAATATCAGTCACATTCAAAATAGCTGGGGCATTATCTGTTGCTCCCAAATGTTTCACCAACCAATCATATCTCTCATCTGGCACTGCAACATGACTCGTGCTCGGATCAATGGTACAGAATGGAAAATTCTCAGCTGGCACTGAAGAATTGGTGAGAATGTTAAAGAAGGTTGATTTACCAACGTTTGGCAAACCAACGATGCCAATATTCAAGTTGGTTCCCACTCTGCCAAAGGCAATATTCTTATTTTCTGTTGTTGTTGAAGAAGACATTTTTTTTGAGCTGATTGGAGAGTTATCATGATTCTTGTTGAAGTTGTGGCGTTGGCGAAAATATTACCAAATGGAGAAAGGAGTCGTTCAGTGCACTGATTTATTTGGCACGATTATTATAACTATCAGTTCTCTAAAAAAATTAAGAGTTTTGTAATAAATCTTTAAATTACTTTGGAAAATAAAAAGAAAACAAAAAGATGCCTCCCTTGGGAATCGAACCCAAGACCTCTGTCTTACTAGGACAGCGCTACTGCCAACTGAGCTAGGAAGGCGCACATTTCATTAAAATCCTTAATAAAATTGTTTTTCATATATGCAGCTTTCTTTTTTATTACACAATAATCAAAATGAGTAGTAAAGCAAGAATGATCCAATTTCCAATTAGCTTCTCTGCTGATGAAACCTTTGTGCTATTTGCTGGTTGAATAATTGGTTGACTTACGGTTGGTGTTACCATTGGCGTCACAAAAGTTACATAGACCAATCCTTCAGTTTCCTTCACTGTGAATGTATTATCTTTTGAAACAGTTACATTTCTTCCAAAAATATCTACTACTGAACTGGCACTATTTGCCTTAATATTAACTGAAGCTCCAGTTTCAGTTGGCAACAGGACAATAACTGAATCATTTGAACTCTTAAATCTCATAGCAGTTACAGAAGGGTGTTCAATTTGAATATATCCATCAAATAATCTATTTCTTACGATTGAACTCAATTGCTTGACGGCTTTCATGGCTGGCTTGTCAGTATAATTATTGAAAAGCAAACCGAAATTGTGTTCTCTATTTGTTGGGTCAACTCCATCATTTCTCAAATCGTAATAAATGTAAATTGGGAAACCAACTGCGCATGAGGAGAGTAATCTTCCTACTACATTATTAGCATGAAGTCTCAATGCTGCTTCGTCCAATCCATTCGAGTTTGAGTCGAAATCAGTTGCTGTGAGACCCCATTCAGTATCCCAAACAGGTGGCACCGTAGAAATCAAAGATTTTTGAGCACTTGTCAATGTAGATGCCTTTCCTTGAAGAGTGGCATTGATGTTATCATTAATAATTGATCTGAACTTTCTAGTCAAATCTGGGAATCTTCCGAATGGTGATTTAGGACTACCAACTCCATAAGGATGCAATCCTATTCCAGAAAACAATTGAGAACCATTCTTTGAGGCAGCACCACCTTCAGATGTGAAACCTCTCACAAAAGTATACGAAAAACCAGCGACACCAGTTGTAGAAACTTGAGCATTTGGGTTTCCCTCTCGAATGGCAGCAACTGCAGCTTTTGATAATGCAGCATAAGTAACTGGAGTGAATCCCTGAAGATCTGCCTCATTATAAACCTCGAAAATAACATTCTCATTAGCGTAATGCTTAGCAGCTGCTCTACTATAATTAGCAAAAGCTTCGATGGCGATATCGGTAGTTGGTGGAGTAGAGGCACTTCCAGTGTAGAGAGTATTGGAATAGGTTAGAATGAACAATGCTTTCAATCCTCTCAATTTCAATGCAGTCAACAATGTGTCATAAGAAGCAAAGTTGTAAACTTGTTTGGTTGTTTCAACTGATGACCAGAACAAATCCATTCTAATCCATGAGAAACCACCTGCTTGACAGCATCTAATCCCTTATCATCACTCGAAAGAATA